GGTCGAATAAGTCGTCGATCCTGGGAAGCGGGTACTTATTTTTGATTGTCAACCGGTTGAGATCCCGGTAGTCGATACACATTCGCATAGATCCGTCCTTCTTCTTAACAAAAAGAACGGGTGCTCCCCACGATGACACGCTCGGTCGGATAAAACCGAGTCGTAATAGCTCCTGAATCTGAGTTTTAAGCTCCTGTAACTCCTTAGGCGCCATGCGATATGGGGCTTTAGATACTGGACCGGCCCCTGGGATAAGATCAATGGAAAACTCCACCTGACGGTTGGGCGGTCCTCCTGGTAGCTCATCTGGAAAGACGTCAACAAACTCGCGAACGATGGGAACATCATGAGGTGTCCGCGCTTTCTGAGAATCCTCAACAAGGCTTACCAGGTAACCCTGGCAGTTGCCTCGTCGCAATAGCTTAGTGGCTTTCACCATCGAAATAACATAAGGCAATGAACGGTTCTTAGAGCCGAAGAAAGTAATCGACTCGTCTCCCGGAAGATAAAGAGTGATCTCCCGGTCATGACATCTGATGTCAGCATGATAGAAAGAAAGCCAATCCATCCCGAGAATAAGATCGAAATCCTTCATCTCGAGAACAAACGCGTCGGCGGTCAATACTCGGCCACCGATGGAAAGGCTAAGGTCTGAAGCTTTGGCTGAGGTCACTATCTTTCGTCCCGAGGCCAAGCTTACCTCGAGAGGATCGACAGCGGTAACTGCATGAACTCCGATGGCGTCGAGACACCGTCGTGAAATAAAGGTGTGCGTTGCTCCGGTATCGAATAACGCAAACACAGGAATATCATTGAGAACTACCATCCCGGACATAGTACCTGGTTGCTGTGCTGCCTCTGCCTGATCGACCGCGTAGACCCTGGCCTGCTGCCAGCCCCTCTGCTGCTGCTGCTGCTGCGGTCTCTGTGCCTGCTGTCGTGGCTACTGCTGCTGTGGTGGCTGCTGAGGCTGCTGCTGAAGCTTCTTCGGGCATCGACTCGCAAAGTGTCCCGGCTCCTGGGAAAAGTAACAAATGTCCTGTCCAGCACGACACTCTCCCCTGTGAAGTCGACCACAAGTCGGGCATGGTGGAATCTGTCTCTGTCGGGTCCTCCGGTCAGTCTGTGCACCCTTTGCCTTCCTCTTCTTCTCCTTGACTGGCTGAGGAGCTGGTAGAACTGGTGGAGCTGCAAATGGCTGAGCTGGGGCAGATGGCTGAGCACGATCACGAACGGCCTCCCTCCTGATACTAGCGTCAACCTCCTGGGCAATAGGGACGGCTCGTGCATACGTCTGAGTCCCGTGTCCCACAATGTTATGACGGACTGCTGGGTAAAGTCCGTCAATGAACCGCTGAGCTCTTTGGGCCTCCGTGCGAACAAGATCTAGTGCGAAACCTGCAAGTCTGGTGAACTCACGCTCGTACTCATCGACAGTACGAGT